ACCCGAGCCATCCATAGACAAGGCACATCTGCATCTGCATTCGATTTGCAGACCAGCTTGAATGTCTTCTGATTTGAATCTTTTGACCGAACCTCCCGCAACCTATCGACGTTCCAAGCGATTAGACCCGTTTGGGCTTCTCGCTTGCTCCGGAAAACTGCACCCAAACGTATGGTCTCAATGTCGCCATTCCACCGTGGAATAGCATACTCGTTCGCATCTATCCTGGATGGGTCCCATTCACCCATCTCGCGGTATATGTGCCGACCACCAATAGGAAATGGGTGTTCTTCTTCCATGAACTCGGCTTCACTCTCCTCATTAACCGATCTATCTGATTCGGTTTCTGAGGTCTCGTCTGTGAAGTCATCTTCACCGGGAATAAAATCTTCATCGTCCTCATCCGCCGCCCATTCTCTCGATGTTTCTTCTCCAAAATTAGGTACATGAGAAGTCGATGTACCCTCGACATCAAACACTCCCCCGTAACAAGGAGTAAAATCCTCAAACTGTGTAACGGGTGTATTTGCCTGCAACGATAAATGCAAATACACCATGGACATACTAGGAAAGTAATAAATCCATTCAAAACTATCGTTATTGAGTATTGCGGGATTCCATGAACCATCAGGTTGACTAATCATCATAGTAATCTCCTGAATTGTCCAACCTTCTTCAAACTGACATTTTTCATTAATCATCTGTACCAACTGTTCATATGATATCCTCCCCGGAATTATAAATGAACCACTCGGACGATCTTTAAATGAAACAAAATCGTTTAACATTTCCTTCCCAAAATGCCAGTACAAATTAACAAGATATGGACCGGGACCGGGATATGCCATTTTATACCTGTTGCAAATAAACACTTTCAATTATTTTTCAAAAGCAAGACCACTAGTGCCTAAATTAAACTAAACCAAGTAGGGGTTATCAAGCTACCGACAGCGGTCTGAAGAAGAATGTTGAGACTATAAGCAGATGCTTATATCTACACAAAGCAAAACACTCACGAAAGGCAAATCAACTCCAACTAGTGGAGAATCATCTCCGAATAAGGAGAAAACACAAATATAAACTAAACATACACCTATCTATAAACTAATACCTCTCTTAAACAACGCGGGCAACACGCGCCCGACCACAACCAAGCCATCAAACAGACCCACAACATAGCAACCTGCGAACAGAACCTAAGGGTCTACAAAAACAAGCTCCAGAACTAAAAACTCCACCGAAGGGTTACATAGAACCGGCAAGGGCACAAAGTATCCGATCGAGGGAAGAAGAAAGCACAAGGGCACGACTCGAACAGTTGCACCGAAGGGACCCTAAAACCGAGCACCCAGAGGGAAATGATTGGTCGGAAAAAGTGTGTAATTTATATATTTATGAGTGTATTTTTATATGCTTAATTTTGTCACACTTATATATTTTCTGACTTATTTATTTATTAGATGAATTCTAGTTCTTTGATTTTTTTATATATTATTATCAGTATTTGGAGTATTTTATGGACGCGAAATACCAGACGAAAGCTCACGCAATCAATTATCGGGCGATCCATACAAGAAGTCCAAGTGGATAAATAAAATTCATATGGGCCGCAGATGAGAATAAGGCCCAAATTCCTGAATGAATGTTGGACACGACTTGGATCATTGGGGAACTTAGAATTATTTGTTGGGCTTTGGGTACATTTAGGAGAGGTAATTATTGATTTTTGGGTTGATGGTTATTTGCTGGAGAAGAATTATTTTGCTAGAGGATTTTGGGCTTTGGTTTTTATTTTCTTTTCTTGGGGCGGGTCGTGAGTTTCATAGAAAAGCAAGGGTATTTAATTGGTTGGCTATTAAAAAGGCTGGGGAGAGCCGCCTACATCGCACAACAACAGAGAAGAAAAGCGGCCACACGCAGAGGCATACGCACGAAGAGAGCAAAAACGTGGACAGACGAGGAATCCAACGGAAGCGGAGGGAAGCCGCACCCGCACACGAAAGGGGATAATTCTATTCTCTTCCTTTTATTTTCATTTATTATGTGAGACTAGGTTTTTATTTCTAGTTCCGGGGAAGTTGAACCCTATAATTTGATAATGTTTGATTGATTTACGTGGTTGATTATTGAGTTATCTTTTTGGAATTGTTTTATATTATTTTGAATAATTAACCATGATGTGTTGAGTCTTATTTAGATTGATCACCTAGATTAGGCTTTACATATCTACACCTGAATTAGGCCTTCAATCCGTAATTGTTGATGTGTTTAATTCGCAAGTGGTATCCGGAAGATGGTAACTACCGGGGATAACACGACCTATTTAAGTGAACGAACGCGGTTGAGTTCATTACTTAGTCTAGCCTATTTTTCTAATTCGTAAAGCGGCTTATTGTATTAAATCTAAGAAGCGTTTTCTAGACTGTACAAGAAGTCAGGTCTAATCGTAGAGCGTCTCGCGGTTAGATTAAAAATAAGAAAAAATTTGGGTAACAGACCGTGTCGTTACCTAGGGCTAGTAATTTCATAAGATAACGAGATTTGATACCAAAATTGATTAGACGAGTCAATTGAGGGTGTACACGGAACCGTGAACTAGAACATTTTCTTATTTATTTTATTTAATTTTTATTTTCATTGTTTATATTTTATTTTAGTTAGTTTAGCTATTAAATCTCAATCCCCCCCCTTTTTTATTGCTTTTATAGTTCCAATTAATACAAGAAAATTCACAATTTGATTCACACTCTCTGTGGGTTCGACCCTTACTCGCCACTACTACCAGTTAGCAAAGGTTAGTCAAGAAAAAAATATAAATTTTAATTTTGCCGCGTTGCGACGCACGGTCAAATTTTGGCGCCGTTGCCGAGGAGTGGTGTTATTGAATTGTGATTTTTAAGTACTAATTGAATTATTTTATCTTTTTAGAATTTTATTTTTATCATATTTTACCCCTCTATTTTTCTTTGTTTTTTGTTTTCTTGCAGAATATTGGGTGACCCCATACTCTGCTGGACAAAATAGTTAGCCCCATACTCGCGGGATTGACTAATCGTTGGTGTTTTTGATCGAGTTTGGCAAAAAATTTCCGAGATGGCAGTCTATTATCACGACTTCTATACCCAGCAAGCACCTTACCACTATGAGAGAGAGATACAAGGCCCGTGGATTGGAGATCGAGGCATAAAAGGACCTATTGGTTGGCGAAGGGACAGACAAGACTACTTCTATCCCGATGAGTACGAATACCGTTTGAAAGAGCACTCGAACTCGTTCTATGGGTACTCCGAGCAACCAATTGCGCGAGATCCCATCCC